CCGACCCCCCTAATCGCTACCTTGTACCCCTCCACCACCTCGGCCCTCTCCCTCCCTTCCTGCCTCCCTCCCCCCAAGCCGAGGTGGGTCAAGATGCCAGTCGTCATGGGGCTTAATGCGGGGTGGTTCCCTCCTGCTTGAGGCCCCACGCTAGAAACAGTAGGTAGAAAATCATGGTTGACACCCGCGGTTCGCCTGATGCTGAAGTGCGGCGATGGCGTTGCGCTCACGATTGACGTCGTGGGCACGCGCGCCCGGGCAGACGCGGCCTTGGGGAACTTCAGGAGTTGGCCAAGGGAGCCATGAGGGGCCGCCGCAAGGGTATGGGCACGGATAGTTGGAGGACGCGGACCACCGACATACTGACCCCCTGAGTTCAGCATCGGCGATTGCCATAGGCTGCTAAGAGTTCCGAAAGGCGTCTGAAAATGCCAGGTTCGTTTCATCAGCATAACTACGTCTCCAGCAAAGGAGAAGGTGCCACGCGTCCAGGCCCAGCCGTTCCATCACACCGACAAAGTAAACAAGATGGATGACCACTTGCAGCAGCTTCAGGCGCATGTGTTGCATGGACAACCGCACGAGGACATGATCGCTGCGAATACCTGCCACTCCAAGAAGCCACTTGCAGAGGTTGTGGCTAAGGTTTTGCAGAACATCCTCCAGGCATCTTGCCACGAGTTAGAGGCTGTCCAGGCGCAGCAAGTGCAGCCCAGCGTCAAGAACGACAGCATGGTGGCCCAGGATCAGCACCACAGGCTCAACGAGGTGGCGGGGCACAAGGTTTCAGACTTGCACACCCATGTGCCCTCTAATGACGATGCTGACGATGATGATGCTGATGATGACTATGCTGCTGCTGATGATGATGCTGCTGCTGATGATGATGATGGTGCTCGTGATGATGATGATGATGATGCTGACGATTACGATGATGATGCTGATCGTGATGATGATCACGATTATGCCCATGCTGCTGATGTTGATTATGATGATGGTGAGGATGATGGTGGTGTTTATGATGATGCTGATGCTGATGATGCTGATTTTGATGATGATGATGATGATGCTGATTATGAAGCTGATGATGATGATGATGATGATGATGATGATGATGATGATGATGCTATGATACGATGACGATGATAACGATAGCGATGATGATGCTGCTGATGATGATGCTGATGATGATGATGATGATGATGATGATGATGCTGACGCTGACGCTGATGATGCTGATGCTGATGATGATGACGATGATGATGATGATGATGATGAGGAGGAGGAGGAGGAGGAGGAGGCGGAGGATGCCGATGATGATGCTGACGCTGATGCTGATGATGGTGCTGATGATGATGATGATGATGATTATGATGATGATGTTGATATTGATGATGATGATGATGATGATGATGATGATGATGATGATGATGATGATGCCGCTGCTGCTGCTGCTGATGTTGCTGGTGTTGGTGGTGGTGATGGTGATGATGATGATGAGGAGGAGGAGGTGGATGAGGAGGATGAGGATGAGGATGAGGATTAGGATTAGGATTAGGATTAGGATTAGGATTAGGATGAGGAGAGATATGGATGAGGATGGGGATGATGAGGATGAGGATGAGGATGATGATGATGATGATGATGATGATGATGATGATGATGATGATGATGATGATGATGATGAGGAAGGGGATGATGATGATGATGATGATGATGATGATGATGATGATGATGATGATGATGGTGATGGTGATGGTGATGGTGATGGTGATGATGATGATGATGATGATGATGATGATGATGATGATGATGATGATGATGATGATGATGATGATGGTAGGAAAGTCATGCACGGTCAGCTCCAGAGTGGCCAGGACGACTGGGAGGATGATTTAGTGTAGCTCCAGCACCTTCGCGCCGACGTGGGGAATCTTTCTAACGCTGACAGTAGTGCCAGCCAGCTCCACAAGCTAGTCAGCACCAGTGCCGCCTAAGAGCAATGCAAGAAGCCCATCGACGCTTGGTTGGAAGTTTTGCAGGAGCAGCTTGTCAGGGGCATCGAAGAGTTCAAGGCGTTGGGCAAGCAGATCCAGCTACTCTCCGAGGATGTGGAGAGGAATGCCAACGATAGTCACCTCTCCAAGCTCTCCGCCCTCTATCGTGATCTCACTTAGAATGCCGTCGAGACCAAGCAGGGAGTCCAGCAGCAGCAAAATTCCTTGCAGTCCAAACTGCAGGACGCGGTGAGGCAGCACAAAGAGCAGACCGAGACAGACTTCGGCCGCATGGAAGAGCTCCAGGGCTCCACTCTGCAGCCCGTACCGGCGCAGCCATTCATATCGGTTGGGTGAGCCACGACCGCCGATGTAAGCCTGGCTCAAGTGCTGGGCCATGGGGTCGACCCTGCATGCTAAATTCCATGATGCAACAGCGAGCAGCGGGCGTCTCTGATTCTTCCTGCAGTGACATGCTAGACTTCTCCCGATGGAGTTTAGAGGAAGGGATCGTTCTCTGTTTCAATTGCTTGCCGCAGAGTGTACAGCCTTTGTATTCCAAGCCGGCTTGGCTGCCTGCGCCGTTGGTTGTTCTGTATTTGTCTCCCCCCTCCCTCCCTTTATCCTCTCTCCTCCTTCTGCCTCCTCCCTCCTTCTCCTCCTCCTCCTCCTCCTCCTCCTCCTCCTCTTTCTCTTTCCTCCTCCTCCGCTTTCCTCCTCCTCCTCCTCCTCCTTCTGCCTCCTCCTCCTCCTCCTCCTCCTCCTCCTCCATTCCTTCTCCTTAAAGATAACTCCTCCCTGTCGCACCCCGAGGCCAGTTTTTAGGGCGGGCCGGGCGTTTCGCCTGAGACTTCCTCACCATTTGTGACTCTGAAGCTGAAGCAGTGACAACAGTTTCACAAATGGAGGGCGGATGGTTTTCAAAATTCGCTTTAAAATTTGCAAGAGCTTCACGGATTGAGGGCAGGTGGTTTTCAAACTGCGGCTCTCGCCTTAGCGCCGCGCGCATTCGTTTTACAAACATTGCAAGAGTTTCATGTATTGAATGCCGTTGGTTTTCCACATGCGGCTCTCGCATTAGCGCCGCGCACATTCGTTTTTCAAACATGCAAGAGTTTTACGGATTGAGGGCGCTTCCTTTTCAACATGTGGCTCTCGCCTTAGCGTCGCGCTCATTCGTTTTAAACATTTGCAAGAGTTTCACATCTTGAGGCGGGTCGTTTTCAAAATGTGGCTCTCGCCTTAGCACCGCGCACACTCGTTTTAAACATTTACAAGAGTTTCACAACTTGAGGGCGGTTCCTTTTAGAAATGTGGCTCTCGCATCTGCGCCGCGCACACTTGTTTTAACAATTTGTAAGAGTTTCACGGATTGAAGGTTGTTCCTTTTTAAATATGGCTCTCGCCTTAGCGCCGCGCACATTCGCTTTAAACATTTGCAAGAATTTCACGGATTCCCGTGATCAACGTACCAGAATTGGCGTTTTGGAAGGATTCAGGATTATGCGGGTGAACCAGTTATGTTGATACGCGGTGTTGAAATCCCAAAAATGGCGCTTTGGCACGATTCCGGATCGTCAAGACGCAGCAGTCACGTTGATACGTGGCGTTGAAATCCCGAGAACCATTTTTTGGCATGCTGCAGGATCTTCAAATGGTTGTCTTCCAACGAGGTAGTTCCCTCAATGGAAATGAACCGTTGTGGAGGCCTATGAAGAGGGAGCTTGGAGGGAAGGTTGATGACTCTTGATTTTACACTGGTGGTCCTCCTCCTGCTCCTCCTCTCTTGTCCTCCTCCTTCTGCCTCCTCCTGCTTCTTCTGCCTCCTGCTTCTTCTGCCTCCTCCTGCTCCTTCTGCCTTCTCCTGTGACCTCCTCCTCCTCCACCTCCTCCTCCTCCCTTCTCCTCGTCCTCTTCCTCCTCCTCGTTCTCCTCCTCCTCCCTCGTCGTGCTTCGCCACGCGGCCAGCTAGGACCGGGTAGGGCCCCCCTTGCGTGGAGCTCTGCGGGCTCCCGTTTTGGGCCCTCCCGTTCCCCCCCCCCGCGTTTCCGGCTGCGGTCGCCCACGTGTGCTCTGGGAGGTCGTTGATGCGCACCCGGCCCCCCTTGAGAAGTCTGTTGTGATCCTGGGGCCCGTCGGCGTTGGGGCCTTTCGAGGCGAACTCTGCCGTGGCGACGGGGGGTCTTCGGGGTGCAGTGTTGGGCTGAACCGATGGGGATCCTCAGAAGCGTCCTTCAAGAGCCTGCTTTGATCCGCGCACTCGGGGATCCAAGCAGGCTCTTGAAGGACGCTGCTGGGATCCGCGCACTCGGGGATCCAGGAGCAGGAGGAAGAGACAGAAGGGTCCTCGCGGGGGTGATCTCTCTGGGATCGCTGCGTAGCTGTCCGTCGTGGGGGCCCTCTAGAGCCCTTCCTCCCCTCGCCAGTCTTCCTACGAAGGTCGGGGCTGGGACAGCCCAGGGTACCCAGGGGTCGCCTGCTGCCCAGCAAGTTCGCTAAAGAGGCCTTGCCCGCTGCCTCACACGCGATCCGAAAAGGGTCCAACCAACCAAACAACCAACCTCTTTTTTCTGCCTCCTCCTCCTCCTCCTTGCTGCTGCTGCTGCTGCTGCTCCTCCTCCTCCTCCTCCGTCTCCTGCTCCTCCTCACCCTCCTGTCTCTTCCTCCTCTTCCTCCTCCTCCTCCCACTCCTCCCCTCCTCCTCCTCTTCCTCCTCCTCCTCCCCCTCCTCCTCGGCCTCCTCCTCCTCCTCCTCCTCCTCCTCCCCCTCCTCCTCCTCCTCCTCCTCCATCTCCTACTCCTTCTCACCCTCCTCCTCCTCCTCCTCCTCCTCCTCCTCCTCTTCCAACAAGACGCCCCCAAGAGGGACCGAGGAGACCCGAAAGAAGACCCCGAGAGGCCTTCGCAAAGAGGAGGTGCTCGTTCTGGGGGCCTTCCTGCAGCTCCGCTCGTGCGTCGATGCTGCGTCGAGAGTTAGTCGCCTTGAGGCGAGTTTGGGTGGAACTTGGGTCGAAATTGAGCCGAGCTAAAGTCGAGCCAGGGTGCGCGGCCGACTCTGCGGGGCCGCGCGCCGTCCTTCAGGTCGCGCGTGCGCGGGCGGAGGCGGCATGGGCCAGCCTTTGGCCTGCTCGGCACGGGGCACCAGCCCTGCCTTCTCTTGCGCGGCCAGAGTGGCGCTCGTGCTGGCTGGGTGTGTAGAGGTTTCTCTTCTATTCCCTGTCCCTCTCCTTGCGTACTTTTCTCTCCTTCTCTGCCTCCGTCTCGGTCTCTTTTTTTGCCCTCTCTCTTTTTTTTTTTTTTTCTCTGTCCATCTCTCCCTGCCCGCCCCCCTCCCTATCCCCCCTCTCTCTACCACATATATATACATATTTCCGCATATGTAGACACATACATATGTAAACATATATCGGTATAGTGTTTCAGTATTTCTCTGTCTCTCTTTTTTTTCCATCTATATATTTACCTCATGTGTATATATATATATATATATATACACGTACTCTGTTTTTGGTTGTTGTCCCGTCCCTCACTCTCTCTCTTTTATTTTTTTTGTTCTCTCTCTCTCTCTCTTTCTCTTCCCCCCCATCCACCTCTCTCTTTCCCTCCCTCCCTCTTCCTCCCTCTGTCCTTGGGTCTGTGGGGGTGCGTCTCTCTTTCTTCTTCTATCGTGCTGCTCCCCGACACCCATCGCCAGAGCAGCTGCCCGACAGCGTGGGCGACGCCACGAATGGGCCCGTCAGAGGGCGCGCGGATGACCGACCCCACCAGCATGGGCGTCTCCTTGGACCCGCGTTCCGAGACGGTCCTCGAGGGCGAGCGTTATTTGTACCGGCTCCGGCGGGAGCGGCGACACCGGCAGCGGCGGCCGAATTGTCAGCGGCGGCGGCGGTGGCGATGGCGGTGCGGTGGCCGCGGCGGCGACTTTGACGAGGGGGCGGCCGCTGCGAAGAGCACTTGTTTCGGATCGAGTCTCAAGCTAAAAAGCAAGAGGCTGCGCGTTTCGCCCTCCATGGGATCTTCGGGTCCGACTGCCTGCGGTGCAGCATCGAACCAGCGTGGACGATGGGACCAGAGACGGAGTGGAGAGATGCAGTGTACAGTGTTTTGTTTTTGAATCCTTTATCTTTTGCTTGAACAGCAACAGGTGCGCGCGGATTTCTTGGGTTGGCGCTGGGCCCCCATGGTTCAGTGCCGATCCAGGAAATCCGCGCGGAGCTCCGAAAATTTTCTATTTGCGTCGCTTTGTTTTCCTCTCGACTTGAAGGGGTGCGGCCGCTGCGAACGGCAAGGTACCAGCTGACCAAGGCTCTCCACATCAGGTTCGAGGAGGTTCGGCTACGCGCAAGAGTGATCTTTCGCTGGAGTGACCTTTGGTGCGGGCCCGCATGGATCCCACCAGTAAGAGCTGGCGCGCTTGGATTGCTTCAGACGCCCGGCCGCTCCAAATTTTTTGATGCGTGGGCCCCGGAGGTCTGGACCACTTCCCCAGGGCCGGTTTTTCGTCCAGAGTCATTTTTTGGGCGGTCCCGAGGCCCAGCGAGGGCTTCCGGAGGCCGAAGACGGTGAACAACAGCCACTCCAATTTTTTAGGAGCGTCGGGTCTTCGAGCTTGGGTTTGGCCTCCCCCGCGGCCCCCGACAGTCGCGCACCAGAGGGCAAGGTTGCCCAGGGTCACTCGATCCTCGATCCTCGATCCTCCTCCCTCGATCCTCGATCCTCGATCCCCGAACCTCAATCCTCCTCCCTCGAACCCCGATTCTCGATCCTCCTCCCTCTAGCCTCAGTCCTCCTCACTCGATCCCCTTCGAGCGTGCAGCCGAGAGGTGCCGACCGCCCTGATCCCCTTCGAGCGGTGCGGCCGGGTGAACATGTCGAGGGTGCGGCGGGGAGGGGGGCGCTCGCGGCGAGGCGGGCAGGTGCCCTTCACAGCCAGAACGAGCATTTCGTCTGGCTCGAGGTCCGAGGTCCGAGGCTCGAGGCTCGAGGTTTTCGGGCGTCTTCGTCGATTCTCGGCGGGCTTCCAGCCTCTGCATGTTCTACAGCGGCTGCGCCTCGTCGAGGGCGTTCCGGGGTTCCCCAGATCGTCCCGAGCGGCCGCCAGAGAGCCGATTGAGAAGCCGAAGACCACGGGGCGACGTCAGGGGAGGACAGGCTCAGGGGGGGGCGCATCGACCCCCCATCGCCCGTGCACCGCCGATGGGGGCCCGATAGCCCGCCACGCCCAGGGACCTCTGGGTTCGCTCACGGGGTCCTATCGCCGATCTATCGGCGATGCATCGCCGATTACAGGTTGATGCTTCACCCCCTGGGCTGGGCCCACCCCTTGTCGTCACCTCTCATTTACAACAAGAGAGTCGTTATATTCTAACCAAGCCTTACTTCTCTAGATTTTCTCAACCACCGCCTGGGGGGTCGATCTTCCGGGACCTCGGTCGGCGGTGAATATATATATATATATATATATATATATATTTCGGACCCCTTGGGGCTCGAGTTTGTCCAC